TTTTGTAAATTTTCTGAAAAAAAAACCCTCTACATTGAATCAATTAAGAGACAGAGGAAATTCAAATCTTTATGATTTTAAAATTAGAAAAAAAGTCTCATTTGTTCTATACAGACAGTTCTAACCAAACCACATCTCAAAACAACAAACATATGGTGTCTCCCAGGTAGGTGTCAGAAAGAAAGGAGATATTAATACAGTTTCCAGTATAAATAACATAAATATCATTATTATGGACAATCACAGATCGTTCTATTGTAGTGAAAGTGAGACTACAGAGTTAAACTCAACTGGACTTCATTCCAAAAGTACTTTAACCTTAATTTACAATTGGATTAAAAATCATCTCTCTCTCTCTAACAGATCACCTGGCCCTCTGAAAAACATCATAAAAATATATATATATATAAAAAAAAATATTTAGTTATAAACTCAGTTTGCTGCAGTAAAACATCCAAGTAGAGAATAGAATGAGAAAAAGGGCAGTAATCTCTTTAATCTAGACGTATTCGAACATGAAAAATTAACGTTAAAGATCGTTTAAGTTTGATAAATTAGTTCTGGAACCAATGGAGAACCGAGTCCATCCACAGAGGTTCTGTTCACTTATTATCCTGCTTTTCCAAAGACGGGGATACACTGTACGATATGTTTAAATGTTGTGCTTCCAGACATCTGAGCTGTGATCTTTGAAAGATGTTTGTTCTTATGCTGCGTTCACACCGGGGACGTTTTGGGCATTAAAGTGTTCGGAGTTCAGTCAGACCAGCATACCCCGTCAGACCAGCATACCCTTAGTAACACGAGCATGATCGTTATTAGCGGTAATCAGTCCCATAAAATGGCTTCAGATAGTTCCAGTAGGCTCAGTAGGTTGTTATCGTCGATTGAATCCTAATCCTAATCCTAAACTCATTCCTTTTCTCACGCTGAATTAATTAATCCATTTATGTGTAATCTGAAAATAACTTCAGTAGTTTTTCATGAACTGTAAATATAAATAAATAAAAATAAAATGATTTACATGGCGCTCTACGACGGAGTATTACGGCCAGGCTAGAGATTTTTTTTTTCTTCTATTTCAAGAATAAAGTCATAAAATTACTAGAATAAAGTCGTAATATTAAGAGAATAAAGTCCTAAAATTATGAAAAAAAACAAGTTGTATTTTATGACAACTCTTACCAGAATCCCTTTCTTCCCTAAAGTGAGGAATGTGGAGCATCCTGTGAAGTTATACTTTAGCATCGGTTTGACTAATCAGGAAATCTTTTAGCAGCAGCATCAAACTGGGCAGGATGTCAAAGTGGACTCTGGTTGCTGATTGGTGGAGCTGGTCGGACGTCATCTGATGGGCGGAGCTCCAAGCTTTCTTTCTGAAACGGGTTGATGTATGATGACTTTATTCTCATAATATTAAAACTTTATTCTCAAAAAACTAACAAAAAAAAAAGCCTGGCCATGTTACGCTGT